GTTGAGAAGAGATGGATTCATGCCTTTCCCAGATAGCCATTATACAAGAGTGACCACAGCTGACTAGGCCAGAATTAGAACTCGGATCGTCGATAACCGCTACTCTACCCGAACTTGCAAATAATATGATTTTTTTTTAATATGATGCCCCCCCCTCCTTCAGGACATAGTCAATTGTGGCTCTCCACAGATTGTTTTTTTTTTGTTGTTTTTTTGGAATATGCTATGTTTTCTTGGGAAAGATAATGGATTGGCTTCCCGTTGCTTTCTTTACGGTTCTGAATTTCAAGTAGCTTTTCTCTAAAACTGGTTACAGGCCCAAGTTTAGAGAACCCAATCTTGGTCGAGAAGAGATGTATATACGCCCTTCTTAGATGGCCTTTATACGGCAATGAACACAGTTGACTAGGCCGGAATTAGAACTCGCTTCGTGAATTCCATTTCCCGCATAGATAACCGTTACTGTACAAATGCAAATAATATGATTTTTTTTTTACGTTAATGTCTCTTCAGGACATTTAATTTAATATCTGTAAAATGCTATGAATTCTATTTATTCTATTAAACTAGCTATCATACAAGGATAGAGAGCTCAGTGTACACTGCTATTTAACTCCATTTTTTATTTATTTATTTATTTTTAAGCGTTTCACCCCAAGTAAGGCGGGAAGCCACTAGGACGCAAGGGGTTACAGAAGATTTGGAACAAGATCCGATAGGAGTGATAGAGGAAAGGATGAGGAAATAGATCAAGGCAATGTTGATTGACATTACATTTGAATAGTTGGAGATTATAGCTATCAGGGAAACTGGAATAGGGAAGGGAGTTCCACATATATAAATTTATATCGAGACAATAGCTATTGGATTAGAAGAGATGGCTACATTTAGTATTTCGACAGTGAAAGGGTGAGAGCGGGATGCCAAAAAATAGAGCGCTTGGGAATGAAAATTTGGGAACCAGCGAATGCAGCTCTCTTTCGAGCAATTGCCATATTTAAATTTGTAAAAAAAAGAAGAGAGGCGACGGCGCGTCTGTGGGAGATATTCTGTAGACGAGATGCCAGAACAGGGCTAATTATATTGCATACATTTAAAAAAAAATATTTTATTAAGAATAGAAATAAATTAATCTAAAGAAAAAAAATGATAGCCAAACTTACAAAATCACCTCGATGGTACCACATGGCAATTCATGGACGCCGTCAGCAATACCAGATCTCCAAGAAACCCGGTCTTCAGCTAGAGTCTCCCAGTCATCCAGACCAATATTCTATAGTGACACTTAAGGCAATCTTTGTAACGAAGTTTTGGCTTGTGCTGCGGTCTTTTTCCCATTTCCAATTCTCCATACATTAATTGTTTTGGAATTTGTCAATTATCAAGATGATATATATATATATATATATATATATATATATATATATATATATATATATAGCTGGCCACTCGTATTCGAGGATACCTGTCTACTAGAACGGCTAGCCAATCCCTAATTCAGAGGTTCGCTCAGGCACATTTGTGTTTGTTCAACATCCCCAGAGCCCACCTGTGGTTTATATTGCAACTATGCTGAACAGACCTTAGTTAGAGTTTATGGGAGAGAGCGTGTTATCTAGCGTAATCAACAATCTGAACAAGGCCAGAACACTCAAACCCTCGGTCACGATGACTTGTGACTTTCTGCTAGCACAGCTATCGACTTTCCCCCCAAGTGTTCCGTCTACCCAATTTCACTCACAAGGCTTGGGTCAACTTTCCAAAGAATCTATCTATCTATCTATCTATCTATCTATCTATCTATCTATCTATCGCAGTCTGTTCGTATCTATCTATCGCAGTCTGTTCGTATCTATCTATCTATCGCAGTCTGTTCGTATCTATCTATCTATCTATCTATCTATCTATCTATCTATCTATCTATCTATTTATCTCATTCTGTGTATCTATCTATCTATCTATCTATCGCAGTCTATATCGTATCTATCTATCGCAGTCTGTTCTAACATATTCATCTATCTATCTATCTATCTATCTATCTATCCATCGCAGTCTGTTCGTATCTATCTATCGCAGTCTGTTCGTATCCATCTATCTATCGCAGTCTGTTATCCATCTATCTATCTATCTATCTATCTATCTATCTCATCTGTTCTTTTCCATCATCTATCTATCTATATATCTATCGCAGTCTGTTCGTATCTATCTATCGCAGTCTGTTCGTATCTATCTATCTATCTATCTATCTATCTCATTCTGTTCCTCTATCTATCTATCTATCTATCTATCTATCTATCTATCTATCTATCTATCTATCTATCTATCTATCTATCATTCTCATGATCATTCATCTATCTATCTATTCTTCGATCTATCTATCTATCTATCTTAAATTTTCTGTTCCTTTATCTATCTATCTATCTATCTATCTATCTATCTATCTATCTATCTATCTATCTATCTCATTCTGTTCATCTATCTATCTATCTATCTATCTATCTATCATGACCTTTTATATTCCCAGTTCAATCGGTGATTTTTTTTCCTTTCTCTTATTCTCACAGTTTCCTCCAGACCGATAACATTAGGAAGTCTACTACGTGACAAAACAACCGTCGTGAAATTCGAACTCGGGTCTCCTATATATATATATATATACCAAAGTAAACAAATAGTAAAATATTTATGAAGATCGTACGCAATTAAAAGCAGTCAATTTCAAGTTGGAAGAGAGACCAGAGCTGTTTAGTATGTTTAAAAAAAAAAAAAAAAAAATATGAATGCTGACCAGAACAGGACCTCAGTTTCGACCGCTACGGTCTCCTCAGGTGGTCAGAGATAATGAACAAGTGTAGACACGTTAAGAAGTTCAGCTTTGGGGTTATTTGAAACCGGATAATTTTTTTTTTTTTTTACACCTCCCCCACTACTTTCTGTTTCAAACGATAGTGCTTAAGTTGTTGAGCTACTATGTCGTTATAAAAAAAAAATTATATATATATATATATATATATATAATTACATGAATCATTCATACAAAACACAAAATAGATTTGTTCTTGTTTTTTTTACTTCTCGGTAATAAGAGGACAACGAAAATATAGATGTAATCCGAAAAAATACTATGAGAAATGTGTTATTGTTTTGGAACGTGCGGTCGTAACGCTGAGTTTGAATTTTAAATTTTAAGGTTGTGCGTTTTTGTACAAATATAGTAATAGGAGAATTCTTTTGTACTGGTAGATTTTCCGTCAATGTGGCATGAACTATATTGTTCAATAATTACAGTAATGTCACACTTATCCGAAAGTTGCACGTTGGATCAGTTATTTAATTTCGATTATAGGCGCAGTTCAATTTATAATTATAATCATTCATGCAAAAAACAAATATATATATATATTGACTGATTTAAAATATTGTTTCTTCGCTACACAGGAATTATTAAAACCATTAGTTCAGTTTCATCTTCAAGCGAAACAGAACTGATGATTTTAATTTAACTATGTAATTAAATTTGAAGATTTTAGCTTCGGTTTTTGAAACATGGTAATTCCTGTGTAGCGAAGAAACCATATTTTAAATCAGTTTAATTTATAATATTTATGCTCTGTAAATTTACATTGAGCACTGTTTTTGTAAAAATAAAATATCAATAAGAACATCGGATTATATATCTTTACTGTTGTTTTCTTTTTTTTTTAATATATATATATATATATATATATATATATATATATATATATATATATATATATATATATATATATATATGTGTGTCAATGCTGTGTGTGTGTGTGTGTGTGTGTGTGTGTGTGTGTGTGTGTGTGTGTGTGTGTGTGTGTGTCATTGGCATTAATTACATTAGCAGTGATACGAGAAATTTCTTATTTTGTGTAAAGATAAAATTGTTCATAATAAAGGCATAATTCTGATGTATTTATGTAAATATCCATGGAAAATAACTTAATTTCTTCTGATGTTGCTAGCGTGATGATATAAGCATATATTTAAATATTTTAAAAGCCAAATATAAACTTTTTCTAGTTAAACACCCTCTAAAGATAATTTCCTACCAAGTAGTAACATACATTCTAGGAATATATATCACCTGTAGGTATTATTTATATATACAAAAAAAATAGACAAAAATGAAACAAATATATGAAAAAAATCTAATTCCAAAATGTGTGTGATTGTGTCTCCACATGCACATAAACTCATAGACACAAGCACACGGTTTTACGACTACATGTTGATACATCGGTTCCGTAAGGTCACCGAACTTAAGGAACGTCAAGTCTGGTCTGTACCCAATAGTAAATAAGTATCTCCCTAAAAAAGTCCTAAAATGGACGAAATTTAGCCTTGAAGATACCGAAAGGTTTAAATCAAGTTAGCGTGATCGGCTGGTACCCTAATTTTTTAAATTTAAAAGCTCTGCATGTAAATTTTTTCTTTTCTTTTCTTTATACGTATATTGTGCACTGTTTCCTGGTCTAATTCAACACTGAGCAATAACTTTTTTAATATATATTTATATATATAAATAGTTAGATAGATATAGATATAATTATTATCAACTATATAAATAATTATTATTAACTAAACGTTATATTTTTTAATTAATTCCTTGAATTGGCGGGAATTAAGAAAATTTAAAATTCCAAAATTAAATTTGACATTCCAATGTATATAGTTTCTATCTGAAATACACCAGAATTGTTTCCTTAATGGAAATAATAAATTTAATTATTAAACTTTCAATTAAAGCTAAAATGAAATCTTCAAGCACGTTTTTTCATTTTTTTAAATTTATTTTAAAGTTAGGTATCGAAAATTTTGCCGAAAAAAGTGGAGGTACCCATATATATATATATATATATAATGAAATGGCCAAAGTCCGACAATTATTTTAAGATATTTTTATGTTTATACATGCTTTTTATGGATACAAATATTTAAGTAAATGATCCGTTTTATAATAAACAACATTAACC